CCAAGCCTTTTCTTACCTTTTGGCTTTTGGGTTTTTTCCCATGGATTTCATTAAGATTTTTGTTGCAAGGCTCAGAGCTCTTCTTTCTCCTTCCACATAAAAAACGGCTTATTCGTTATTCCCTCAAACTTTAATAAAATTTAATGTTTCTTCTACCTCTTAAATGAATGCATTAAAATTATTTCTATTTAGCCATTAGTGTAATGGTATTTTATTGGTCTGATTCTGTGTAAGTCACTTGAGTATTTTCTGAACGAGACAGATTAGGCTATAGTCCAGAATTCATGCTCTGAGAGAGGCATAAAGTAGGTGTATAAGAATAAACTGTTAGGTATCAGAAAAAGCAAATAGGGTTACCACAGTTGTACAGCTGATAAGAAATTTTACTATTTGATAAGATAAAATTTCCAGGATAAATGTTCATATTTATTCTTTGTTTTTCTTCTCAGATAATGGCTCTGGATCTGGAGAGGGAGGTAAGTTTCAAATACCTCTTAAAGGGTGTTTGCTTTCTTTTCTTCTTTTAGCGGGTTTATTGGGATACTTCACCTTGCATACTGCTGTTCACTCACTTAAAGTACACAGGTACAGTTGAATTGCTTTTCGTATAGTCAACATAGAACGTATAATGGTGTGTTAGTATGTACTCAGTACATTCATTTCTTACAGAGTTGTACATCAGTAACCACAATCAATTTTAGGACATTTTCAACATGCCAGAAAGAACCCTCATCCCCTTAGCTTTTACCTCCTAAACCCTGTCAGTCCTAGGCGTTGTTTGCCTCATGGATGTATTTTTGTCTTTTCTACTAAAGGTGTGTTATCAAGCCAAGGGGAAGTGGCGTAGCATCTCTTACAATTAGGTGGCACCAAGATGCCTTCTCCTTTGGATTGTGCCCATGAGTGATTTTCACTTGGACCAGAGTGTGGGTAACTCTCCTCACCCTTGCTTCCAGAGTTTTGCTCATGAGGAATTTACAGGGCGCAGGGTTAGCGTCTTGGTTCCTAGTGCTGCCATAGCAGAAATCCACAAGTGGATGGCTTTAACAAACAGGAATTTATTCTCTCACAGTTTAGGAGGCTAGAAGTCCAAATTCAAAGCGCCAGCTCTAGGGCCTGGGTGAAGGCCCCTTGACCTTGGGCTTCAGCTCTGCCTCTTGTTCCAGGCCCACTGGAGTTGCAGGCTTCTCATAGCTCATGCAGCTGCTGGCTGCTGAGGCTGATGAGCCCAAGGTCAGCAAGTAGAATGGCACAGTCCCAAAATCAACAAGCGCTCGAGGGACCACTGGTTCAAGTCCAGGAACAATCTCAAGATTGGTAGGCGACACAGCAGGCCACTGAGATGAAGACTTGGCCAAATGCAGGATCCAGATGTACCACAAAACTAGAGACCTTCCTCAGAGCTTCCTCATATATACTTGAAACAGGTCACATCCTGAAGGCAACTAATTAG